AGATCGCAATTATAGCTAAATTGATGTCACCAATGGTCACTAATACCGATTTAATACAATCGCTTGCTGTATACAATTTCCTAGCTATTAAACTTTTCTTAACAAATAGTGCAACTCCTCCTTGCCCTCTCTTCCATCTTTGATTGATATCATTTCTAGAGCTGCTACACGAAGCAACCCAGAAATCCGGGCTAAGTGCATCTAAAAACGACAATTCGTCCCCATGTAACCAGTGTTCACTTAACACAAAAATACTAGCGTCCCGCAGAAGCTGTTTAACATAGGCGAAACTACCATAAACTCCAGCACAATTCCAGCAGCCAAGTTTTAGTCTTGCTACAGTTGCTGGCTCGTATTTTTGTTGGTTAATACACCCTTGCTTTCCCAGCTCTGTTTTGATAACCACTGTCTGGCGTAAACATTGAGAAGTGAGATAAACATTAGGACAAACTTTTCGACAAACAAACAGATGACAAATCAAACAATGGAGGTAGCGAGGAGTTAACACAAGTCAAAAACGAACAAAGAATAACATTGGACAAAACGTTAAGGAACGAAATACCCCGCAAATTAGTCATGCGCTGTCGTAAAGTTAGCAACATGATTCCGTTAACAATATAGTTAACGAACAAGTTGTATGACATTTCACACATACAGACATTAAAGTCCTGGTATCTTCAGGATTGTAGATCACATCAGTATATAGTTCAATGTAGAGTTTCATTAGAGACTATTCAAATGAAGTACGAGATTTCGTGGTGTCTCTAACGGTACAAGGAAGCGTGTTCCATATAGCTTTGATATAATAGCTGTTTATCAAACTGACAGTTTGTCGAGTTTGACACTTGGTTACATTCAGTGTTGTACCATTGATTGCATTACCATCACTTGTTTCTTGTACTGGTACATTGATGGACGTATTACTGTCGGCGTTATTTATGATGCACTTAAAATGATACACCATATCTAAGTACATGTTCAAAAATTTAAAGTCTTTGTACGGTATAACCATTTAATGGGCTTGGGCAATGATAATACAAGTTTTGTAGCACGTCGTTGTATACGTTTGATGGTATTAGGTTGGACTATTAGTATTCAACATGCATTCGTAGATTCATTGGCAGATAAATTGTAGTTGTTAATGTTCACTACTCTTCTTCGTGTGAGATAGAACAATGACGTCTGTTCTTAACTGAAGATTCGTTCACCCGTTTCTAGAAATTGACAGGTCACCAGTAAATAATAATTGTCACTGGCATTAATTCCTTGTGGCTTTTATGTTTAATCTGTGTGTCGTTATTTTCCATTCTGCCTGGAATTTGCTCTTTATGTTTGAACTTGATCGTAGTTCAGTAGTTTTCATGTGACTTCATTGTAGTTTATGAGTTCACAGCAACCAGGTATATAATCCATCGTAATTATCGCTTCTCTGGTTTTAGTAAATGAAAGTAATCACCACACAAAGATTAACTTTCACGACCCAACGTTTCGACACTCCGGTCTAGTGTCTTTATCAGGGGTGATCTGATGTTGAAACTCGGTTCCTTATATACTCTCAAAATGACGTCATCTATTAATCAGATGTAAATACTCTTTTGGCAAATAGCTTCCATCATCCCTACTAAGGGCACAAAGACTCGCATTAATATGCCAGGCTTCCAAACAACGCCTTTGTCCATAACGATCATTAGTGGTAATGACTTTTGAATCGTTCCACCCAATGTTATGGTTATTTTGAACTGTCTAAGTTCGATACGGCCTTCGATACGATGATTACTTTTATTTACTAAAACCAGAGTAGGGATAATTACGATGGACTTCATTGTATCGCGATAACTGACAGTTTACAATTGATGGATGTATTCCAGGATCAGATATAGTGTAGTTATTAAAGTTATGGATCTCCGTTTTTGCTAGGAGTTCATAAAATCCAAATTTTATCATTTAGAATCGAGGATGCAATATTGTAGTTTGTGATTTTGTCTGCAATAAAAAATAAGCACTTACTTAGTTTACTTCAAATCAACGCAATGCAGGAGTTTGAACAGCGGCAAGAAAGATAGTTAGATGTGATCACAAACTTAACGTAATAATATGTTCCAATAGACACCGCGGAAATTGGTAGACTTAGCCGTAATTCTCAATACTTAGACTTTAAATTCGGCAAGCTAAAAGATTTATAAATACTCAACAAAATATCTCTTGCACAAAAGATTTGAAGCTTGCACACGGCAAAAACAAATCATCTGAAAATGTCTGAAAATGTCTCAAAATGGCCATTTTACGGTGGCAGATGCATACGAAGAGCCTTCAAAAGTTTCCAAAACCGATATTGGAAGAAAAATTGAACTTGTTTTCAACTTATTTGATAGTATTTTCTTTGATAGCAGTTTCTGAATACTAGGATTCAAATGTGAGCAACTGATGAGATATTTGACTTCCAACACCAATTTCTGCGGTGTCGTTCCAATACCTTAGGTATTGCTTTCATTCTCTTACACCGCTTCCTTTTATAGTGTTGGATGAAACATTAATCTTTACTGAGTACGATGGATGATCATGTCACTGAAATAATGAAAAATGTATAAGAATACACATAATGACAATCACAGAATGAGATTTAAAAAAAAAGCTTACCTCCTCAAAGCCTCGAGGTGGGGAAATCCTCTTCTGTTCCTAGTTAGTAGGGACATATAACTGTCTATTAGTGGAGGGCAAGGATCTTCTCGTCAGTGTATCCAGTGTTCTGGACATTTTACCTTTGCTTTTAAGAGTAACTTTAGTTTTTGACTCATTCTGGACATTCTACCTTTGTTGTAAAGAATAACTTTTTTAGATTCTGACTATATTACCATGGATAGTGAACTGAAATTTTATTGGGTTTTTTATATATTAACCATTCGTATTTATTATAGTAACTTAAATATCAAATTAGTGAGAGGAAAATAGGCTTATGGTCACTAAAGTACGATTCTAAAACTCCACTACTTTTTAGTCTTTCAGGGATATTAGCGTGTATGTGATCAATTTGTGTTTTATAGTCTGTTGTGACTTGGTTAATAAGTTGCATGTATTGCTTTTCTTCGATTAAATACTTAGTAAGGGTATTTTTGTCGGATGCATTTTCAAGAAGGTTAACATTAAAATCACTAAGAATGATAACAGGAGTATTTGGATAATTTATATACGTAGAGTGTAAATGTTTTAAAGCGTCTACGAACCTTGAAATTTTTACTTTTGATTTAGAGCAATAAATTCCTACAATATGTAAATTATTTACTGGTTGGTTTACTTTAAGTAATGTCATTTCTACATAATTATAGTTGCACCTGAAAGGTTCTGACGTTAGTTGTATATTGTCCTTTAGGTAAACAGCAGTTCCGTAAGGTGTTCTAGCACCATCTGGGATGAAGTCATTTCTGAATAGTTGAAAGCCTGGAATCTGATATAATTCATTGTCGTCATTACTACATAGAGCAGTTTCTACAAAGATATTGATATCTGCTGCTTGTACATTATAATCGCTCGCAACGTCAGCAATGTGAAGACGTAACGATTTCACATTTTGGAATAATACTTTAAATGCTCGACTAGTATCTTTGTAGAGAAATGGAAGATGACTTTTCAGTATACAATTTTGTCTTAGTCTTGTCATTTCATCTTGAACCTTCTTGCTCACTGCGATTTTCTTTTTGTTTAAATTAAGAATATGTAATCCCGAAATGCTTCTAAGTCTGCTTAGTGCAACATAGTGCATGTGCTCTCGCTTTAACGATGGAAGGTCAACAACGGATTCATTTAATGTATCTCCTTGACAACAGTGAATAGTCTTGGCTGCAGATGGTCTTAAGGGAAACTGTCTGCGAAGAACTTGTATTTTATTTTTGGTGAACTGTCTTTTTATCTCAAGAATTGGAACCCACATTTTTTCTATAGTCTGATTGTAGAGATAAGAGTACTCTCTGCGATAATCATTACCAATGTGTTGTTCTTGAAATAAAACCCAAATGATACTTGGTCTTGATGAACCTTCTACGCGGTAATTGATTTTCTTGATGATGCATTCAGCACCATTAGTCATACCATCTACAACTGACACGTTTGTTGTGAGGTCATACTTTGCTTCCTTAAGTATTGAACATACTGAGTACAGGCCCATGGTTTTCAAAGGATCCTGTGGGATTTGCTTTTTGAGTCTTTCTTTTAAGTCGTCAGATAAATTTCCAAGCACAATATCTATTGCTTTAACATTGACCTTCTCGTTTGAAGATTTCTGAAAAACGTCATGATTATGTTGATCGACTGCCATATTGGTACTGAATAAATGGGTTGAAGATATTGGATAATCAGGATGTTGTGGACTAATGTTTAAAACCCTTTCTTTAAGAACTTCAAGATCAGCTTCAGTATGATTTCCTTCTCTGATACGATTTAAAATTTCAGCAAACTCCTTGTCTTCCCTTTGTCTCATAACTTCTGACAACTCAAACTTTGAAAATATTGTTGCCAGAGATTTGTTGCTATAATGCAGCATAACCATCCTTTGAATTCTCAAATATCCAATTATCAAATACGGGTTTCAGTTGAAATAAATCGCCAACGGTTATTATGCTAAGACCGCCAAATGGTTCTTTTGTGCCCATGATTTGTTGCAATCTTTGTCAAGAAAAGCAAACATAGCACTGCCTACCATAGATATCTCATCAATAAAAATAACTTGCATTCTTTTTAATTGAGATCTTATTGTATTCAATCTGTCTCTATCTAGAGTACAATAATTAAATTCTCTGTTCGCAGGAATTTTAAACGCGGAATGAAGTGTATTTCCTTGTATGTTAAAAGCAGCTTTGCCTGTCGGGGCAACTTTTACAACACTGACATCATCAAGGTCATTCTGAGGTTGAGAATTTAAGTGTCTTATAAGAGCTTCATACAAAGCATTAGTGACAGTACTTTTTCCTACACCAGCACCTCCGCTTAAAAATAGTCTCATTGGCAGCTTAATCAGTCTTGAAAGAGTTCAGTACATTGTAAAAAAACTCTTTTTGCTCAACATTAAGTGATTGGACAAGTTTTCTAAAATTGGCATCATTCAGCCTTTTTGCAACAAGTTCTTCGTCATCGTTTGTTTGTGGATATATACCAATATCATTTATCAAGTCGTACTGGGCATGTTGTTTATCTTTCTCAGGATCAAAGCATCCGTATAATTCACTTTCTTTCAGGCCAATTTCTCTGTCTTGTTCATCTCTATACTGCGTATTTGGAGCAACTAGATTTTCTTCACTTTCAATATCTTGTACTGCCTGATCAAGAACTTCGGTGTGATTCTTGTATTGTTTTCTCTTTTGTTCTATCACATCTTTGACAATTTCATACTGATTTTGGTAATTTTTTGAGTCCTGCAAAAGATCTGTACATTCATTCCTCCAAGCAGTGTAAAGCATTATTTGTTCTCTACAATAATTTTCTTGATATTTGGTTTTATCAAATCTAACTGACCATATTATTCTTGGCTTGTTCCTTTTCACCAGCGTTATTCTACCTTTCATTTCATATTCATCATTTTCATTTTTTTCCTGTTCTTTATGAGAAAGATCATCATCTACATTATCATCGAAATTACTCTTTGAAAGGTAATCATCTATTAATAGTGAATTTGATTTTTGTTTGCTTTGTTGATTACTGTCACTTTTACAATTAAACCATGCGACAAAATCGGCCAGACATAACTTTTCCAATTTCCTTGGTCTTCTCTGATATCTTTTAATAATGTTATCTGACTCAATATCAACAGAATTATCAAGAAGTTCTTTAATTTTATCCATGCTCTTCAATAAGAATGTTCTTTCATCTGGGTCAGATGTATTGATAAATTGGAATTCTCAAGACGATCATCTCAAAGGTATTTGCAGGACGAGGTAGACAGCCTCTTGTGCACTTATTTCAACAGCGTTGAGAAATTTGTTACCAATATGTCTCACCTTGTTAACAATGTTTTTATTGCCTTCTTTCGCTTCTTCGCATGCCTTGAGAAGTAACTTGCTCATTCCTCTTTGACCTTTTGTAATATATGAAAGGATATAAACAGCACAAGCATAAGGATCTAATATGTACTGAATATCCATGTTAGCTTTCCATGCTCTGAGTAAATTTGGATTGTAACAGTTGATTCTTATCTCAGCAGGCGATCGTTTCAATAACAAAGTGTTATGCTTAAGAGAAAGCCTTATGGCTTTTAAATATTGCTGTTCTAATAAATCTAACGTTTTGAGGAATTCATCAAAAGTCATTGTTTCATCAGCTTTGATAGTGTCTAATAAAGAACGTATCCGTTCTAAAGCTTTCTTTAATATTGGGGCGACATTTTCGTCTAGATCAGTTTCAGACAAAGGCTCTAAAATCATAGTTCTTGGCATTGGTGGTAATGGAAAATTAAATCTGCAAACAGCTCTTTTCTTTCTCTTTCTTTTCCTCTTTTCTTGCACGTTTTTGAGTGTTTATGCCTTTGTAAATTTACGAGTTCAGTTTGACCATCTGAGTCAGCCTGACATGTAACGTAGCTATCTACAAATATCTACATTTTTACCATACTCGGTTGGTAACTTGGGTTTTTGATCCAGAATAATCCATGGATATGTGGAGAACCTGTTTGCTGGAATTCAACACTATAAAAAAAGTCAACAACCTCTCCAATTGGATGGCATGAACTTTTGATAAAATTGTGAATAAATAATTGCACCATATTTTCAAAATTTCATGCACATGTGACAGGATCTTTCTGTATCAGTTCAGTCTTCTTTTGCCAAGTCATTTGTTTAACCTCATCGTCAGTATAGTCTTTTTTGTCAATAAGACGACCAAGAATTTTAATCAAATGAATCCAACGTGCTTCAGCTGCTGAAAATGAACAGAACCACGTAGGTGTCCCAAGCTGACGAATCATTGCAAATAGATCTTTGTTACATCTTTCAAAGTATGGAGGGGAACCGCGTAAATTTCTTAAAACTCTGAAACCTTCATCCAAATTGATTGGCTTATTAACAGAACTTTCTGACTTTAAATCTCCAGCTGTGAAAGTTTTACCTTTGGTTTTACATTTACGCAATGATAAACTTGCACTTCCTTGAATTTGTCTGATCTGTAAATTTTTTCAGTTTGTAAAAAATGTTTGGCACAGACTGAGCAACTCTTCGATCTTGACTTTGTAATTCCCATTTACAAACTGTACTATAGTGAAAGGCACAAGTCTTTCACTGTTATCAGCTTGACATTTTCCACAGTAAATGGTAGGAAAAGATAGATATTCAGCTTCTTTATCTATAAATATACCAAGTGGTCTATTTCCTTCTCATGGCCGGTGAAAAACTGATTATTTTATCGCCATTTTGAGTAATGTCAGGTTCTTGTAATAATGTATCCATGACACCTGATGGTCGTTCAGTTACTTCACACCACTCATCGTCAGTGTCATTGTCAATAGAGTTGTTACTTGCTTCTGTCTCTATTGTTTCTTTACTTTGAGTATTTAATTTGTGTGTTGGATTATCTGAAGTTTCTTTACTGTTGTTGCTAACAAATTCTGACCACTCTTCGTCATTATTGACTGAATTTGTTGCATAATTATCCATTACTTGTATTCCTTCGTTCTTGAATATTTCACTAGTACGAACCAAGTATTGAGCTGCATCTAAAACTTTCGTAGGTCTAACATTCTGGAAGTGATAATGGTGTTTATAACCAAGCCGTTGTTTCAATTTTATTGGAATAGTTTGCGACTCGTTAATTGGTCTTGGTAAAACACTAACAGTTGTGTTAACATCAGCAGGAAGATTAACTATATTCCCATGAATACTTAATTGACCTCCACTAGGCAATTCCCGTACCTGCATAAAAGGTATTCTTGGCGAAATTAATCTTTCTTCAAGAGGTGTTAAATTTTTTAAGACCTCGGGCTTTTCTGGGAAAGTAATTTTATTTGCCTTGGCACAACTTGGAAGTTTACCAGCTTTTAGGTTTGAGTGGCATGTACCGCATATCCATTCAGTATTATCAATGCTTTTGACACCAGTAAGACATAAATTAAGAATTTCGTTTGAACATAACTTGTATAAAGAAGGATTGCATTTAGTGACTGATGATCTATACCATAATTGATCACAAAATGTGCAAATATGTTCTGGTCTAACACTAATGTTCTTATGAAATGTTTCAGTCACTTGTGCTATTGTCATTGATGATCTCGCTTCACTAGAGCTATTTTCATCTTGTATTGTGGTCTGACATGCAACATGGTCATTGAAGTTAAGTCTCAATCTCTTGCGTTCATTGACTTCCGCTACGTTCTCATTATGTGCTAGTTTTCTTTTCATATAGTTTCTTTTTTGAATATTTTTAAGCTTTTCTGGATAAATTTGGTTGTAAATTCTACTTGACATTTTCGACGATTCTCTACTTTTCTCAAGGTTTGATTGTCTGTTCGTTGCAGTGGACATTTTAGATAAATCTTTAATTTGTTTAGGATTTGATTCTTTATATGTGATTTTTGTTTGTTTTACCTTGTCTGGATTTGATTTTCTGTATGTTGCAGTGGACTTTTTAAAAGAATCTTTAGTCTTTTCAGGGTTTGATTCTCTATATGTGATTTTTGTTTGTTTTACCTTTTCAGGATTTGATTGTTTGTATGTCATAGCAGCCTTTTGAAGCGATTCTTTAACTCTTTCTGGATTTCGTATTCTATACGTTTTATTATGTTTTTTTTCTCCATTTTCCTTTTTCTGAAATTTCTCATCCTTTCTTTTTTTCATCATGTATTCTCTCATATATTCTTTTCTACTTTTAGTTTGTGAATTTTTCGAGTTTGCTTTTGACTGCAGTTTATTTGCTTTCCCATTCTGTACTTGTTGAGAAACAGATTGTACAGTGGGTGTCGTTGACACATAGTGAACTTCATCAAGATGTCTGATATAAATATCGCTTACGTTTCCCCCAGGATGAGCATAAATTGTGGTTACGACTGTTGATTCGGAAAAATTTGTTGCACTTTTGGTTATATGAATTCTCAAACTATTCGGATTCGCAACTGCCTCTATAATAATATGATCTGCCCATGTTCCTAGCATTGACATGTTGTGTAAATATTGTATCCACGATTGCTGTGTGTTACTTTCTATGAAATGTTCTGGGCAGTTTATTAAATGTTGAATTGCGAGAGCTCTAATTTGTGCATGACGATCTTTCGTTTGATAAAGTTTATAACTTACACAACGAAAGAAACAATTACCATCACCTGTAATGTTTACTGGCTTCAGTCCTATTCTAGCTAGTCTAGCTGTTAGAACTGACATTGATGTATTTATAGCAGGACCTGGATTCAATTCTATATCGCCGCACAAAAATAATGAATATTTGTCAGATATCTCTAATCTTTGTATAATACATTCAGTTGCGGGCAATTGTTTTGAGTTTTTTTACCTGAACTTGCGTTTTATTGTTCGACTCTGCGTGCTGGCTTGTTTACAACACTTACAATTTATGTTGGTTTTAGCACAATTAGACCGCTTAGAATATTGGGGCCATGTCTTGATTTGTCGCTGCAGGACGTATTTCCTAAATGTTATACTGAGCAAATTATGGCAAAAAGATGATTTGTGAATTGAGTACTTTATTAACAACTTTAGCCTACATCTGCGCTTTTTATTTTTCTGCATCAAATTAACCAGGTTTTTAACGGGGATTCTGGATGGTTCACGATCGCGATCTTTGATGTTCAGTGCTTGTAAACATTTTAGAAGTGGCGATCTACATCAAACAAAATTATGAGACAAACTTGTAATATAATGCTTGTTTTACATTTGAGGTAAACGACTAAATTTTTAATGGCAAACATGTTTCGGCTTACACTAAGCCATCTTCAGTGCGAAGTGAGCTAATAATATTTACAGCAGGATGTGTGATACAATAAAGTGACATATGATACAAATATTAGATTACAATAACAAATACATGTGTCAATTATTATTTACAAAGTGGGTTTTTATATTTACAAAATAGGATCAAGTATATTTACAAGTTGAAAATGGTATAAAAATGCTGTATTTGCTTATTGAGATCTGGTTTGAGTTTTTTGATGTAGAGAGCTTCTTTGAGTTTGAGAGAGAACTGAGATTGTGCATGGTCTAGTACGCGAAACCACTCGTCATTTAATTACTTGCACGTATACAAACATCTCCACAACTCACCACAATGCAAAGCTGCATACACTGAATCCTGCTTCCGCGTACTAGACCATGCACAATCTCAGTTCTCTCTCAAACTCAAAGAAGCTCTCTACATCAAAAAACTCAAACCAGATCTCAATAAGCAAATACAGCATTTTAATACCATTTTCAACTTGTAAATATACTTGACCCTATTTTGTAAATATAAAAACCCACTTTGTAAATAATAATTGACACATGTATTTGTTATTGTAATCTAATATTTGTATCATATGTCACTTTATTGTATCACACATCCTGCTGTAAATATTATTAGCTCACTTCACACTGAAAATGGCTTAGTGTAAGCTGAAACATGTTTGCCATTAAAAATTTAGTCGTTTACCTCAAATGTTTAACTTGTCTTGTGCTATTACGAAATTACGGAAATGCTTGTTTTGGTTTAGGGGTGATGCATTAGTTGCAATATGGGTATCAAGTTTATTTATTTTTGTATTAAAATTGTGACATGTTTCTAAAAGGGAAGTGTTATATTTAATAACCTTGAACTTAATTTCATACGCGGTATTTAATGGCGTACAATAAGTCATGACAAGTTTTGTATTATTTATCGATAGTTTATCGTAATTTTCCGATAGTTTCCCAAAAGGGAATAAATAGATCATGATTTTGCACCGTTGTGCTAGACCCATGAGCAAGGTCCGTAGCGATAGGGTGCAGCCCATCTCCTTGCCTTTCAGCATCTGAAATGCTAGCCTGACAAGTGAAGACTGTGGCGATAGCACACAGGCTATCTGCTAGCCTTTCGCTTTTCGAAAAAGCTCCCTGAC